CCTATCAGGTGGTTACTAAAGTTACTTACATTGCGTACCTCAATAGAAGAAAGATGGTACCAATCATTTATTAAACACTTGTTTGAAGTCATTCATCTTCAATCACAGGCAGAGTAAGACTTGGTTCCAAAAAATGCACACGAATACTGAAATGATCATAGTCACACGAATCATTATTTACGAAGAAGAAATAAGGTAGTCTGATGGAGTGCAATTCCATGCTTTTTATTAGACGCATATTATATATCAGTGACTATATTGAGTGGTAGTTAAGATCTATATTGGTGCGTCTGAATATCAAGTTGTACACAAGACATGCGATTGTTTTTCATATTATATAAAACTCAACCACTAGCATTCAGAATTTTACTTACATGTCAACCAGTAGTCATTGGGGTTCAGACCAAAACTGCAATCGTTTTCTTTACTTCTGTCATTTACATAAATGTTAAACTTGATCAGAGCGCATAGTTCCATACTTCCTTTCTTCCAAGGTAAGCTTCTCATTCTTAGGCAGCATAAGAAACTAACCACCTATGGAAACTAATCATTTTCACTGGCAGCCTTTACTATACGAAATACCGACTAAATAAAAACTATCTTAGAAGCCGGTGCCTTAGAATTATTATTGTTTGTGTGGTGGAACACTATCTACTTGATCGTGAAATAACAGTTCTTGTACACCAACTAATATTGAAAAAATAAACCTCTTATTTAGGTCATTGAAGAGCACCTACTTGGAAAGAAATATTTACGCGCCAACTCTTTCACAATAGGCATCTTGTTTGAGGACAGAAAAAGGGAGAATACATTTCATGATACATACTACTCATAATTTTATAGGAACCTCGTATTACAATAATACATCGCTCTTTGAGCCAATTTCGCTTTTCATCATTCGATAGTGAACTATGACTTCATATTTCTTACGATTCGTCTTTACCTGTTCATATCTACTAGTCTGATTAGATTGAGATAAAAACCCTAGCTAAATACAGCTTCTTGACTTTCAATTTATTTATCACCAACCTAGAAGTCTTCAAAGGGACGTGATATTCCTTAAGTGAGCAGACGTTAGAGTATTATATAATCATCTCATTAAATAACCCAGATGACTTTTTCAGTGAGAGTTTCATTTCAGGTATTATTTACTTCTTTTCTGATAAATGCTCACAGGACACTGCCAAGTACTTTGATGACTTTAGCCCTCTACGAAAAGATAGTCAACAGTTAACTAGTCAGCTGACGACGAATCGATAGAGAATTATTTTACAATTTAGAATCATCTTTTACATTCTGACTTTTGTTTCCAGGTAAAATAAACTTCGATGAAATGATGAGACACAGTCTTTCTGAAATGTTTTATTATTTTGTCAAAATTTTTAAACAAGACTAACTATGTCAATTTTATGAAAAAAACTTAGTGACAAATTTAGAATGTGTCCACTGAATTATTGCAGATAGATCGAACAGTCTGGAAGACGAAACAGTCTTAAAAAGTGTCTAAGATAAATTCCTCTTCAAGACATCAATAAAAACACCAAGGCTTGATACAAAAATTCATTGTCCACTCTCCTCATCGCGGTGAACACTTGGACAGTGGACAGGATATCTAACCACTTAATTACACAAATTTCTTGATAATTCTCAGAATACACTGCTATATTACAAAATGACAACAGCTGATTGCTTGAGAAAAACCTTTTCAGATTCTCTTTTCACTTTCAGTCTCCAATATCAATACTAGACTGGACCATGTTCTTGATGTTAGCTTCCTACACCTAATATTTATGCTGCTTGTGGCAGTATCCACGTCAGCATATCCTTCACACAACAATGGATCTTTTGACAGCTATTCGCAGTGAAGTTCTATGATATCTAGGAAACAAGTTTTGTTCCTGCTAATACAAGTGGTGTCACTGTTTTTGTAGAAATGCACTGTACTTACGCTGAAAATATATACTATTGCATCTGCGGTCTGTTTGAGATGACTCCTAATGCCTCATACCGGGAACTGTATGGGAGCTGACGGAGTCTGGTATTTCACTATATCTGTTAATCACAAGACCAAATAGGAGAACCAAAACCATTTTACGACCAGTAACGGTAGCCTAACCGTCAGATCAGGGATACAAGAGCTAGTCCGTTTTGTTACCATCTTAACATTTCCATCCATAGTACTTTTGCTGTCCCAGAATTAATTCATTGTTGGGGTGGTTCCTTTTGAGCATCTGGTGAGGCGTTGGTGCTTGTTGAACATTGTGGCATACAATGAAATTGTTGACAACATACCGTGAATACAAAGCATGTTTATAATAGTCACAGAATTCACACTGGTATCATGCGCGGTACAAAAATATGGGTAACTGCCAAACTTCCAAGAACCATCCCATCAACTCATGTGCGTAAATCATTGATGAAGATTTTGGATTATTGATACACACGAACAAACATTAGCTATCTTTGATATCGGGATATCTCCTAAGAGTCGACACATTTTTACGGCTGGCATAATCCACAAGCAGAAAGCTTAGCACCTACCTCGAATTGTTGGAACCGCCATCATCCGACATTTATGTTTTGAAAAGGAGAATAACCGATGTCTTACTTCTGCAATAATCAGTGGCATTTCAACCGGAAGTACTTTCATTTTTCTAGTAGGAGTAAAAAGTTTTATTTTTTGTGTAATCCGATCCGCCTTCATTACAACAACTAGGCTAAATATTATTGTCTTTGACATCAATTTGATCCATTTCGCTATTTCACTTACGTAACTTTTTATATGTCTACTTGAATCTAATCTTTTACCACTCGTTCTGCAACATCCCTCTTGTTGCACTATAAAAATGCCTCAAGTCTGAGAAAATTTCATTACTTCATATTACTTTGATATTATAGATCTCTATTGGTTTCCTGACCTCCAAAAAAACAAATCGATACCTTATACATCTTATTCCGTAAGTGACGTTTTTACTTTACCAGTGACGTTCATGAATTTGATCCCATAGGTGACTTCCATGTCGATTATTCCCCACAAAAAGTAGTTCTCTTCGATAGCTTGCACCATAATCCACCTCAAGCATCACTCGAGCTGCAATCAGTATACACTGAGGATACTTTCTATGGCATTCGATGGGACAGTGTATGAATGAATCTCCCGTTGAAACACATCTAGATACATCCACCATTTATTCGTAGTTATTACTATATTTAGACTTAAAAGTCTATGAAAACTGGCTACAAAAATTCTAGACAAATGAAGTAATTCACAGAACTTTCACAATGGTTTAATGGATACGCATAAAAAATGCAAAACTTAAACTCATACTTTGAGAGTATTGAACATATCAATAGTTTAAAAGGGTGGGTTCCCTCAGAGACTTCCATTGCTGGACTCTACTGAGCAGAAAAAGTAACCAGATTTATTAACTTTCATCGAGAATTACAAATATCTGCACAGATGATACGAGTGAGGATGAAATGGATAGACGCTGACAAGTGCTCTTGTAAAGTGGATATCCCTCAACATTCATTGAGAAAAACTTTAAAACCAAGCAGCATATTGAGAAAATCCCCAGTTCCGAATAAAAATTTGTTTATGGAGGCTGATTCTAGAGGTGATACTGCAACGAAGACTATGAAGAACCATCTGACTAGACCGAAATATATTTTTTTTCTGCTTCCAGTAATTTTGAGTCAATAATTGATTCGTGGATATTTTAAGGATAAATTGCCACTTTGGGCCACACCAATGTGTATCCGCAGATTTATTTTCTCCTGTTAAGTTACTTAGATAGACAGAACAATGCATGCACCCTCTATGAGCATCTGTGAAAATAATCTCTCATATCTCTCTAAAGTTCACACCATTCAGTACTTCAGCATGTAGTCAAATCAGACCATGTAAATCCACCGGAACCATAGTTTAAAGTACACCGTAGAGTTCGACCGGATGGTTCACGAGTACGGTTTCGTAACTTGTGTACGGTGAAAGCGCTGACAACCCGTCAATTCAAGCCGAAATTTGTGTGCATAAAAAGTACATTTAGTTTCCCCTTTTACTATGGTCCTAATATAATTACGCGAGTTGCTTTTTTCCAGAAAAAAAATCTCTGTTCTACCCTTGAGCATCATAGCAATCAAGTGACCATGTTGATTGATAATGGACTGTTCTCTGTTGTCAAAATTCATAAATACAATTGCACAACTTTGGTAAATGACGTCATGGGAAAATAAATTTCGTCTCCAATATAAAATAACAGAAAATGTGAATATTCAGTTTTCAATAGACACAAGTGTTTCCATAGAACCAGATCACTGATACTGGTTAAAGAAGTCAATAAGGTGTGATTCGTAAAAGTTGGACGATATGAACAGATGTAGAAATAAAAGGACTAGCTGATTCGAAGTAATTCTTGTGCTAATTAAACGATTCCGATAACGGATACTTAACAATACCAGGTCTTACTGTTTCTATTTAGACAAGTGATAACTGATCACTGGTAATAGTTTATAGGCAACATGAACAGCATTAAAAAAGATACAATACTCGTGTTACAGATCAACCTGACTAGAAAATGTGACCAAAAATTTAAACGCATATCCGATCTAAGCGTTAAAGCACAGTCACTTCAACTTTGTTCAACAATGACACTGTGTTTTAGTGGACAACACTGTCCATGAAGCACAGATATGCTAAACAACGAAAGATGACATTTTAGGTTGGATCTTTAAAACACTCATTATACGAAACGGGTTTAATACAGTGAAAAAAATAGCTTACTGTCACAGAAAACGTTCACACTCATACATCGGTTAACGGAAGAGTAAACAAAAAGTAATTAGTGGAAAATAATTTTGAAAGCATTATCAAATGAAACAGTCAACAATATACAAAAGAAACCTCATTGAAATCAATGAGAACAATGTGAAATTTCAGACACTGGCTGGAAAGTTTCCGTATACATATTATGGATTAAACTTCTAGACAGATATTTCATTCAGGTCACCTTCAATTTTCCTTTATTATTAGCAGAACTAGTATCAGATAAGGATTTTGTAACCGTATCTGATTCACCTGTTTGACCGAATTCATTTACACGCGATTTGTCCACGGGATACAACCTGAAAAAAAAACATCGAACAGGCTCGTTTGTCATTAGTTTAATAATGAAATCATTAGCGCTTGAGATTTAATTACTTTTTATTCAGAGAGAAAAGAAGAAACTTTGTATCTACATGATAGAATACTATTCACATTATGCAAATAAACACATTGACATCATGACCAAGAAAATGAACAAACAACACTAATAAATGATAGTTTTTCGGTTATCCATTGGGTCCATTAGCGAATAAAAGTGACATAGATAAAATTATCGATGGACTATGGTCTAGAAAACAAAACAGGAAATAAGGAGTGAGACATCTGCAGCTTCACTTATGTAGATGAACGTCACTGTTTTTCACAAAAGTATAGCAATTGAACCGTCACGATGGACAGTCGGTATCAGATAGAGACAGACAAAGTCATAATAGAACCCAGCACACAAGTGCATCACTTTACAGCAGTACACAAACAACAGGTGGATAGAAAAACTGATATTAATGTAGACAAAGTTGAGTGAAAGAATAAGAAAAATTGAAGGTAACGTTTAGTGCGAATATTCAAGCTTTAGAAGATGCCAAGGAATGAATACATCTGCGCCATTGTGACCGATTTCCAGTCATATCACCAAGAATCTTCAATCATTGATTCCTTTCGTCTCAGGACCCCAACCAGACAGTCTACATCTTCCCACATGGCTCTGACCAACAGTTAAAGTAGACGGTGACTAGGCAGGCACAATACAGTTTCAAGCCATCTCAGTCGACCAAGGTTCAAAAATTCATTATTCGACTCGCCTAGTACCCTTCCCTTAACCTCTACATAGCTCACACGGTGATTCCACCAAACGCAAGCAATGCTATGAAGACATCTGACAAATGCCAAACGGGTCTTCTGTTTCCAAGCTGAGATTTCGTCAGCAACTAGCTCGTTCGGGATGATGCAACTGTCGAAGTAAGTGAAGTGATCAATACATTCCACCACTTCACTCCCGATCATTAAACTAGGAGTAGTTGCAGACAAGTACTGGAGCATCATCATACATTTGTCAAGTGTCAGTGAAACGCATGCCAAACATACTAAGACTTCTGTTCAACGAGTTCACAAGATCCTGTCAGCATCTTCATCTAGCAGGACAATAAAGTTGGCATATTCCTTAATCAACCATATGGGTCCTAGGGAGTAGATTAGTCCCTATGAAATCAGTCGCACCCAAAGCTAGGTCTATTAGTACATCTATTACGAAGTAAAATGGAAACGGTGACAATGGGGATCCCTGGCAGACACCACTAGTTGTCGTCAGTTCAAATGACAACCCTTTGTAAGCGCTTATATGGCTGCATGAATTCGAGTGGAGACCTTTGGTTAGCGTCATATACTTCCTCGGTACTTCCTTCACAGTCAGACGCTCTCACAACACCTCACGGTCGATAGGTTGGAATCCTACCTCCAGGTCACGAAATATGGCAAGTGTCGGCCACTGGTCGGTAGGTAAGTCTGTGTTCAAGAACCTCTGTTACGGTAAAAGTATGATCAATCGTTGGGATCTACCTTCATTCATCATCATATGCAGCCGTAAACTTACAAAAAACAATGACACGTTCTGAATAACTTGCAGTGAACAAGATACTTCCAAAAGATCTGTAAATTTTTGACAAATCTAGAAAATGTTGAGCAGAGAAACAACCATTAGCAACCATTAGAACCACCAAGAATTTCCAAAACCGATAAAACAATATGTATAGTGAATACATAGCACGAAATTTTACAAAAATGTATACATACCATCGTTGATATAAGTAGATTAAAAATACTAAATCGTCACGTAAGCAAGCAATTCGATGGGAAGTAGGCATAACAATGATGAATGCGAAAAAATCATCAATAAAGGTGTTGAATGCCTAAATAGTATTAAGGGTAAACAAATGAAAACACGGTTAAAAAAATACATGTTGAGAATAATATATAACTGGCAAAATCACGACAAAACATCAATCATAAAGCTAATAAAATTAAACCACATTAGGACAGAGTAAAGAAATGATAATTCAGCGAAGATCATTTTCTTTAAGTAAATGTTAATATACAAGAACGAAAACTCTCTTCACCGACGCCCCATTTCTTTTCTTGAAACCCTTTAATCTAGAAACACTGGACTTCAGTCAACAAAATATGCACTAGTCAATAAAAACGGATAAATATTATAATGCTAGCGAACGATGAGCACATTACATCAAAGAAAAATGATAACGATAACGAGTTCGGCAAGGATCTAGCCACTTATTCTATTTATATCACACACACCTTGTAGGTACTTATGTAACGTGTTACAAATTCACGTGGTCATAAAAGTCATCTCTTAAAAATATCTTACTTTAATTAATAGTATTATTGCTTACTTTGTAGGTCATGGCTTTCCATGGTAAATGTGCCACAGACTTTAAACGATAGTTGAGAAACAGTTGTGGTGTCATCAACAATAAACCAAAGGCATATACACCTATAAAAACAAAGAGTGTTAGTGGATGGATAGTCAAATGAAAAAGTTCCGAAAGAACAGTTATGAAAAAACCTTATCATGTTAATCATCAACTCAAAGAGAATAAAACACTTTTTTTGATATTTTTCGTCTCTCAGGTAACAATATTTTGATTTTAAAAGTTTTATTCATCACGGGCTGACATCAGTTAGGGGAACCATTGGAAACCTGGGAGCACTGGAAAGCTATTTCGTCCTAATATCGGACTTCTCAGTAGAACGCACTCATGAGTCAGAAATAAAGCGGGTGCCAATTGAAGACTTTGGATGATAGTCGCGCTATATTGCGAATTGACAGAAGTAGGAAACTGTGGACCATTGATCTCCGACCCAGTAGTTGACGGGTTAACGCGTTCGCCACGAGAGCTGAAGGTCCTGAGTTCAGTCTCTGGTGGGATGGTGGGTGCGCAGTGCTGAAGAGTCCCATACTAAGACGAAACAGCCACTCAATGCTTCCAGGTTTTCAACGGTCCCCCCAGCTGATGTCACTCCATGATGAATACAACTTCAAAAACTAAATCCCACCAAACTTTAAACAATATTTTGATTACTGGTAGTAAAGCGATGGATACATTTATACCTGGAATGAAGTAACGTGAATTAGTAAAGTAGCTACTAACAAACAAAAGGAGCATTTATAACCACTTGATAACTAAGAGGACATGTTTCATTACTTAAATTGGTCCCCAACATGTAGACCCATTCGTAATTGAATCGTATTTATTGATTACTTTTGTCTTTAACCTACCTGCATGATGTAAAAGAAGAGTGCTTGAATTTCATCACTGAAACCACTTCCTAATATTTGGCTTAACTAACGTTCATGTAGTACACTGATTTTAGATGAGTACACAAATCCAAAACACATTAGAAAGTAGGACAAGTAATGACAGCAACTTATATGGATATTAATAAATCTTGTTGGTAAAACAGACAAGATAGGTTAATAGGTGACTTCAGAAAAAAAGCAATTTAGATGGTCGAACAAAACATAAAGGTCATGTAACACTTGATAAAAACTCGAATTCTATACAGCTGAGGAAAATTTAAGGTTCATCAAAAAGTGGTCGCTGAATCCACTAATACATAGTATCTTAGTCGCCTACGATGTATGTGACTCCTTGAACAAAAGTCAAACACAATAAAGCAGAATCGACAAATAAATATAGGAAAGTTTAGAACTGCACACTACTCGATGGTACAAGAGTGCACATATATTGGGTGAAACACAAGAGCTAACTGATAATAAAAATTTATTTGTGCTACGAAAACTTCAACAGTTTTCTCCAAGCTACTATCACGTTTTAACGAAGCATGTCAGAATCATAACAAGGATTTATAAAGACATTTGATACCAAATAACTAAGTTACATTAAAAATTACGTTAGCTGGTCAAGTAAGTTGCAGTTTATCGACAACACAGATAAATAGATAATATCAACAGGGATCTGGCATTAATACGTAACGGTTAAAGCTTCCACACCCCATATCAGCGAACCAAGCGAGAATGCATCAAGATGAAAGATAAATGAGTGAGAAAGAAAGAAGTCAAGAGCTAAGAATCTACACTTGACTCCTGCGTTACTCACGTGGTGACATCACGACACACGGCCTAAGCTACGAAGGTAACGGTGGTCAAACACCAGAAATCTTAGGTCACCTGCCTTCAATGGTCATGTTTCACAGCCATACATTAGAACGGAGCGAACTGAAGCGCAGTACACTAAACCCTCAATAAGCAATTGAATATCATAGAGACGCCACAGATAGCATCAAATGGTGAAAACCAATTGAGCCTTTTGTATTCGTGCAGAGATCTCGAAGGCTACAGAGCTAACCCGACTACCCAGGTAAGTGAAATGGTTAACGTACTCAACCACTTCACTTCTCATTGTTAAACAAGCCACCAGTAAGGACCAGTCCTGGAGCAACAATTTACATATGTGTGGTGAGAAATGTACCCCAAACATTCTCGAATTACCACCTCAAGAGGTCCGGTAGACTCTTTATCTTGTCACAACCCTCACCTAACAGGATTATGTCATATGCGTACTCTCAACCTACTAAGGAGTCTCCTATGACATTATCGATATCTACATACATGTTAGACATTATAGGATGATAACAATAAACATTTAAATTCAACGGAGAAAATAGAACTTACCATGAACCATAGTCTGCAAACACCAAGAGTACCAGCTAGAAGTAAAATAAATATGATAACATGAAAATGATTTCTAGCAATGAAATCTAGTAATACCTACTATCTTACTTATAGTCGCTTAGAAACACTGCACATTAGAAAATTATACTCAAATTTATTTTTTTCGAAATTAGTACACACAATAGAAAATGATAAAATTCATTGACAAACAGATAAAATCAACGAAGACTTGGCACACAACTGAATCCGTCCAAGTTGCCACACTTCACAGTAGCATGCATGGAACAAGCGGATAGAAAAATACTGATATCAAAGTATATGAAGGTCTATAAGAGGAGAAGGAATTTGAAAATGCTCAAACTTTAAAAGAATTCAAGTGGGGAGTGTATCTGCACTATTGTGAACGATTTTCAGCTATCTCATCAACAATCTCCAACTAGTGGTTCTTATGGTCTCAGAGACCCCGAAAAGATAGTCCACAGCTTCCTACATGACTCAGATCAACAATTAGAGATAGATGCCGCATCCTGCTCTGGACAACCTGAGCCTTCTTCCAACTTCTGTTAGAACTGCTCAGCCCATAGGGTGATCCTACCATCCATGAGCCGAGCTCCAAAAACCTATGATCTCTTCGTATCTTCTTCCTTCAACGGTCATCTCACAGCCATATAACAGGACAAAACGGACTGCAGCGCAGTTTACTCGTCCTTTAAGAGGTAGTCGGACCTCTCGACAATAGAATATGTCACCAAAATACTTGTCTCCACCATCACATTAGTTACCAACGTAGATCAACCTTGAAGCAGCAACTGACATTCGGGAGGTGAGAAATATGTTCCAAGCAATTTCGAATTGCGACTCAAGGTGTCCAGTAGATTCTGTATCTCGTCAGAGTCCTAACCTACAATCAGTATGTCATCTACGCACTCTAGGTCCACTGAGGAGTTTTCTGCGATAGTACCAATCGCTGTAAAGTAAGACAAGGAGAGGGAGACCTCCATAAGTACGTCTATTACAAAATCGAACGAAGTTGACATCTTTAATGGACACCACTACTAGACGTTCATAACTGGCCTGATAACCCACTATAGGCGCTGAAATGCCGGTGAGTGGTCGAAGAGAGAAAACCTTCAACAGAGTGGTGTACCTACCCAGTCCTTATTTCAGTGAAACATTGCCATAAGACCTCTAGAATGAAAGTGTCGAATGTTGACTTCAAGTCATGAAATACAGCTAGTTTTGGTGTCTGTTTCATAGGACCTGATGGAGGATAAATATCTGGTCGATACATCCACGCCTAGGTCTGAAACCTCCCTCGTTTCTTTGAGTTTGCTGTTCTCGAACTTTTTAGACGTTTGATAATTATAGAACCTAGAATCTTAGACACTTCGTCCGTCAAGTTGATTCGTCTGTGATTATCACAAGGGGACTCCTTCCATCTCTTGAGGACTGAGACAATCGGCGATTGAAGCCGGTGGGAGGGGATCATACCTGATTCCGACAAACCAGTTGACTATTCAATCAGTCTAACCAACAAATATGAACCGCCATCTTTAAATGTCTGGTGCTAGTTTATCAGGGTCTGTTGTAATGCACTCAACCACAATATGCACACCTGTGCAGAAGGCAATGAGCCACATCTGTTTCGTGAGGACTAGTGATACTACCTGATTCCCCAAACCTCGGCAAGTGGAGCGGGGTTCGAGCCCGTGACCTAGTAGTCAATAGTCACCTCCCTAAACCACAGCCACAGCTCGTCTTTTCAACTTCTGAAAGGGTTAGTTTTATAAAATGTTCCATTTGGGCTGCGATTAGATGACAAGAAACCGAAGAGCAGTTGGAAGCTAATTGAACTACTATTCGAAAAGCTATACCCATTGTTACAGTTGCCTTATATATGAAAAGAACGCAGAACCACCCTCCTACTCTATATTCTCAACAAGAGTCGACAATTTCATCCTAGGGTTCCTGAATAAATCTGAAAAACTGTCCACCGTGTCGCTGCAGTCTGTTTTATCTTTTTAGATCTCGCTGATCTCTTACAGTAATACTGAAACATTAATCCTCTTGGGATGGATCCAATACCTACACGGCTGATGAAGTTATATTGGTACTTCCTTGAAGATTCTCATTCATCCATACAACACTAGGCAGATGGAGGATAGAGTTGACTTACAAACTAAATTAAATACTGTGCAGAGATTAGCTCCAATTTCAATACGTTACAGATAAGGAAACTACAGATATCCAATTTTGACACTAACTAAACTGATTTTGAGGATAAGTTGTAAAAGTTGAACATTAATGTCGTATTAGACCTACATGTCTATTCACAACTAGAATGCTTCTATGAACGTAAAACAACCAGGTAATCCTACAGACAGTGATGATTAAGATGAAAGGTGGAAATGAAAACTTATGTGAAATATATTCCACTAATTGCGATTAAGGATCAGATCCGAAGCCATTATAGAATAAATAGAACTCCACAGGTTTGTATAAAACACTATAAAAAAACACTTATTGAATGGTGGAATATAAGCTGATCGTTTCGTTCAGCTCTGAACTTCCTAAGTCATGTGCAACTGAAATTGTTTTCAAGTTCGAATCCAGGGGAATACGGTTTCTTCGTGAACACGACCTGTTTGCAGCCAGGAGTTTCAACTGGAATTCCAACGATGTATATATAGATACCTAATCAGCCCTCATCGAACACGCTGATGCTGGATAATAATAATCACTACAAAGGGAGAGATTAAGCATTTGCAGAAAAATCATATCATTAAATAACCATTCCAAATCCTATAACCGCTGTTCTCACACACGAGACAGGCTGTGAAAAACACCAGTGATTTAAACGAGTGAAATTAAAAGTAAAGCATAGAAACTAATTCTCAAAACATACCTCCGGTGTGATACATAAAACAAGGAATAAACTGAGCCACCAATGCAAAGAGGAATCATGATATACAACAACCAACGCAGAAATTGGGCATCCAACTGGTCAGTAGCTTCTTCAGCCTTCGAGCGTTTACCCCATTGGATACCATGACGAAAACTGATGGAAAATTTTGTCATACGTCCTAACTTCCATAGTTCAATGATCGTAGATATCCCAACTGGGACTGATACCAAAAGACTACTCTTTTCTTCCCATAAATGTAGAAACACAACCAAAGAGCTGAAAAATCGCCAAATAACTAGATTTCATAATGCAAAACAAATAACAAAGCAGAGGTTATGAATGGAAAAGAGGACAATTATTACTAATATTTTAGAACATGAACATAAAGCTATTCGAATGCACAATATAAGCTATTCTGTAATGCATATATATCTTCAAGTGTTCGACTACCGTCATAATTCCCCAGATTAGGATAAAGTTACAGATAAGAATTACAAATGCAGGTTCAACATTCAGTCTGCGTTTAAACACGGACATATGAGATGACGAAATAACCACGCTATTCGAAAAGGAGGTAAGCTGTTGATATCCAATCGCTTTATGCTAAATGTGATACCTTAGGATACTTACTGAAGTAGTTAATGGTCTCTATCCTGCTGCTTTATAAATTCGTAACTCTCTCAGCTTGATGTACCTGCATCCTAGTGTTCCTGTTGGCACTCAAACACAGTGTCTATCGCTTCAAAAACCAGAACACACCTAGTTATGGCTGTTTAGGGATAGAGGTGAGAAGTAAACTGAAAACTGTTAAGAAATGGCAAAAACACGTTTATTTGATGCTTGCTATTCTTTTTTGAACTTAGAACCGCAATTTTTGCATGTGTAAACGGAAATATAATTCACACACGGTTTCATTTAACTGATCTGACAATGAGCATCAAAAGTAAAATGTGAGTCTACACTCTTTGCATGAAGTCTTTGGCTGTTGATGTAACTCGTGTAGGGAAATGTAGACTTCCCGATTTGGGTTCCATATGACAACAGAAACCATTGGTTGGAGACTGAGATGACATGGCTCAGAATCGATCTCAGTGGTCCAGTTGTATCTACAAATTACCCTTATCTTGACTATAGCACTGAATTCAATGTTTTTTCATTTCTCCTTCTTTATTTCCTTATCTTTCAATTTAATGCTACGTTGCTTAATATTCAGATATGAAGCGTGGCAACTTGAACTGTTACGCAGTAATGCCTGATCCCATGGTAATACAGATGATGATGATATTGTAAAAGTAGAAAGCATTTCTAAATATGTACAGAAATCATAGACAACATATTTTGAAGTTGAAAGCAGCAATTTGCAATGTGACTAATATAGTTCAACTTAATGCTGATAATACTACACTGATTAGTTCAGAAACTAAGGTGGTTAGCTTTTAAAACCAATGACGTCAGAAAAATATTAAGTTGAAAGCAAAGAAATGCAAGTCGTGGGATGTTCTACAACAACCTGAAATGACATTAATTCAACGCTCTCAAGGAAAAATATGGAAAATATATAGATCTAACCTGTCCGTATGGATAAGCCAACGGTATTATCTGTGCGTCGCCAGAATGAAATGTCATTTTTGAAGGCCAAAAAGTTGAACAGCAACTACAGAAATTCGAAAAGCGATAATATAAAAAAGTATTCAATAGGCTTCAAACTAATTTTAAAAAGTTTCAAAATGGTGGCATGTTTGCTCATCCATTCGAACACTAAAGAGCTTACGACAATCTTCTAGGCACAAATATCTTAATGGAAAAAATGTATTTTATGGTGAGAGTGATTATGATTTGGTGTTCCCTGAGCATTGATATTTTCGGTGGACATTTCATCACCAGATTTGGTGACATCATTGAAAATATCTTCATAATGAAGTGAGGCACCTTCGAATATTATACGAATACTGACTGAGAGTTTTCGATCAAGTTGGAAAAGAGAATTTTATTACATTTTTGACCTATTTGACCTTACATTTCATTGGGTTACACTCGGAAAGAAACTTTGTCGGGATGAAATAATGCCACTTGTCAATAACATTGAACTTGTTTTCGGGGTATTCTTTTTCACTAATTTTCACTTAGTTCATGGATTTTTCTCTCTTTCTCAGTAGATTTTAGACTGGATATATACTTTCAGCCTATTGATTGACTTTCAGTTTGAATTTCGTTCCTCTAGAAACTCTTTTGCAACCTCTAAACTTGCCGCTTGTAGGATTTTTATATTCTCCCAAACAATTTTGTGATCCTGATTGTCTACGTGCATTGAAGCCCACGGTGTCACTTTACTCCTACTTGATGTGGTGCTACTTGGGATTTTCGAGCAGCCTAGAGAACATCAAACCATCATCATAGGCTATAACAAACACCAAGGCTTCCTAGCAAGTGTAGGACAACGATTTACGATGCTCATTTTCAAAAAGACAAGTTATTTTGACGGGCATTTTTTAAATGGACTGCTTTATGACAATCTTGTCATCTTATGCACTAATTCAGAACAACTGAAGCTAGTGATTTTCTGCTACTTGTCTGTCTTAATCTTACTGGTTGGAGTGGAGTTTACACAAATCAGTTACACAACAACCTTGTATCATTATTTAGATCATTCAACTTATTCATGATTGACTGTGGCAATTTATTGAGCATTCGCTTTAGTTTACACCGCTTCTTACTTCACAATCTTCAAGAAAGAAGCTATTAAAAATACGTGAAAAAGATACACAACAGATCTTTTATCTTACAAAAAGACTTATCAGACAGGCAGTTAAAACCGACGTAGAATCTCGCACAAGCGCATGCGTTCAAGTAGGGTACAAAGAACAAGTGGGTCGAAAAAGAGTGATATCAAAGTAAACAAAAGTGTATTGGAGGAAAAGCAATCAATACAATATAATACAATGCAAACACAAACCTCAAAGAGTAAGAGGATCATCGATACATCATTGTTGTAAATACAATTAACAAACACTGATGCAAACGAAGTCAAGGAACGTTCACTTTTAAAATATCCCAAATGAACGTAATAGCAACACACTCCCACTGCACGTATACGAAGACATAGACCTTGTGCACAACGTAAAAAGATTCGTTAGAAACTTGTTAGTAGAGATAGCAAATTGCTCCAGACAATCAAACCCTATTCTGATTGAAACTGGATATCGGATAATGGGTAACAACAAGCCTCATACAATAGGTGTCAATTATTGCAAACACGTGTGCTTCAAATGAAACTCACTATGCGGCTGTGTTGCCTAAGTTAGGGATCTGTGAACTAAGTTTAAGAATCAAATTACGTCCCGGTTGATAGCTGCTACTCAGACGCGGCGGTCGGGTTGTATATCACAATGACCCAACAGGCCATGTTAGAAAGCTTGTTCCCTTCAGGTCTTACCATCCCAGAAGGGTCTGTTGGATAATGGTTAGACGAAAAGCACTTACCATTGTAGTGTAAACTACTACACTATGATGGGGATTTGAGGGTGAAATCGTACTGCTGCTATCTGGATTGAGTGTGACAGCAGTAAGGTGTTTCCCTTGGATGACTAGCAGAGTCATGCTGATGCTGCCCTCCCATCGGGGAGGGGGAGGGTTAGAAAAGGTGGGCCCCAAAAATACCACACCCCAACACGCCTCACGGTTATAGAAGCCAGTGGTAAGGGTTTCTCCCATCCAGTGTTAGAACAGTCAAACCTTAAAACAACATTTAGTAAAAGGCCTTGTATGACAGGCTTAAAGCAGATGTCCAATGGGTTCCACGGTCAGACAAATTCTTTTCTCTTTCAGGTGCCTTAATAAAAAACAGTCTTCTACGGTGTGAGCAGCTGGAAATTGTCAACCACCCGCACGCTTTCAGTAGTACACAAGATACAAAGGAACTCTTTCTGACTGCTCATGGTAAACAACTTAAACGCTTCTACTTAAATTCCAGGATAACAGTATTTAAGGGAATGTAGATGCACCTAATATGTTTTCCCGATGCTGAGCTTAGTGAAATTCAATATTGTTAGGCTGTTTCTCACACATTCATTTTTAATGCATCCGCACACAGAAATAAAGGTAACCGTAATCTTTTATAACTTAACCTTTGACAACGTACCACAGTCTTACCCAGGTTTGAATTGTTCATTTCAAGCAATGTTTTTGACAAGGTGAATTTACACTGCATGCTTTTAACCATGTTTCGTTAGTTAACGTTGAAAATGTGGGAAGAAAAGGTAATATGAAGGTAGTACGAAAATCACAATTCAGATCGTAGCTTTGTTTGTCATACAATGAGAAATGATGCTCCACTTCAAATCGCCGATTTCATGACACTTGCTTAACATATGCAGTCGTATAAATTTCAATTTTAAGGCAAATGAGTAAGAAACTTACGTGGAAAATCGAGACAAATAGCGTAGTTATTAGAAGATAAAAATTTGTATCCAGAAAAATGCCACGTATTTCATCGATATCCTTTGGTTTCAGCCCTGTAAAAATAAGTAATAAATGTTTCCTGAGATGGACACTACTACGACGACGAAAATAGTATACGCATCCTGCTTTCTTGTGAACTGAAAAGCTTACGAAAAACACCAACTTCTGTTCTACAGTTATGAATGCGTCAAAGAAGAACAACGAATGACTGCCAATGATGAAAAATGCACACTACGTGAATACATTATTTTGCTCCATAGAAAATAGTCTACAACTATCATACTTATTACTCAGAAAAAAACGAAAATTGAAAGATTAAAAACCGTTCATTTGGTTCCTATGAAATGCCAATAAGTACTCAATTCATAACAAAATTACTTTCAGATTTCACTTACATCAATAATCAACTAATTTCAATGATATCTGGTATAATAATGTATAGAAAGTAAAAGAGCTGAATTTGATAATCTTACTTCAATCTGCACACCTTCCAAATATAAACTGAGTACAATGAAAACAGTATTCTGCCTGACCTTATATGAAAAATAGTTGGTCTTAATTTCTTTACTTTCACCTCTTCTCTGTAGCTTGTCTTTAATTTCCGAAGTATCTAAGCTCTCACTGACTCTTCAAATAGGAAGCATTTGTGCTTTCATTATTTATCACTGGACTTCAGAAGTATGCCATCCAAAAATTGACTTTACGCCAAAATACATTTTTAACGGATGGGAATTTGTTTACTGCTGACGGACTGCCGAAAGACAAGCTACATCAAATCTTAGAAGCAATTATATCATTCTTTTTTTTCAAATTGGCTTTGCTGGGCAAATCGACAAAATGTTCTGCATGAAGATTCGACTTGTAGCCCGGATGCGAACCGTAAGCTAACTGCGATTTTCCTGACAGAACCAAGTCAGATAACTTGACTACGATTTGGTATGAATACGAATATACGATGAATTATGTGTGACTCCAATTGTCATTTTGCACGCTTTAGATTTTAAATGCTTTTTCATATGCCTTTATGCGAAACTGTTTTGCTCCCACCTAGTCTTAATGACACTAGAATCGAAACGGTCAAAAAGTCCGAAAACATTTTCCAATGTTGCAAACTATTGTATCCAAGCATTCTTAAGCCAAAAAATGGTTTTCTAGTCCATAACGCGTAAAACTACCACTAGAGTATTTCCATTACACAGGATCAGAAAAGCCACTATGAATTTTGGACAATCCGTTCCAATAACTTGAAAATTATACCCACAGTCGTGGTGAGGTTATAAATTTATAACTAACAGCAGAAAAACTGTAAGGGCTCAAGTTATCACACTCAGAAACAGTTCAAAACATTTAAAATTATACCCTTCTTGTGAAGAGGATATACCAGTACCTGAAACTAACCGGTGGAAATGATAACGAGTGAATTAATCCACACTACTACGACCTAGCCTGATTTATATTACCGAAAATCTCCGATTATCTGATTCCTAATATCCGCAGGATTCCAGATGTGTAGTTCACATGTCTTTGCATTACTCAAACTGGTAATCGATAGACGCCAAAAAAATTTAAATAAGTGTATTTGTCTAATTATCACATTCATTTTGAATGATTTATTTTGCAGTGCTCCGCTAATATGCTTTCTCACAACGTGCCGCTTATTTTATCACATACCATTCAGAGATGATTTACTAGTGATTAAGGGCACATCACCTCACTGCTCATTATAAAATGACTTGTTTTTGATAAATAATGTACACTGTAAGTTTACGATTCGCATAAAACCTAGCCTTCTTCACATTGCTTGTATGACAGTTCAAATACATGCCAGATGCTAAAAATACTCATGATTCAAATCCTATACCCGTCACAATGTTGGTCATATGCAATAAATATGCCTGTAGCCGTAGAACAGAATACAGTGAAATGCAACGCAGCGCCCTTCACATTCGACAAATAAGTGGCTATATTGGGGGCGTTACGGATGGCAAATGGTGTGTTTTCCTAACTTCTCACATTTCTCGGGAAACCATCTCATTACAGTTGATTCAACTCCTTAGGTGAAGTGGTTAACAAAATCAAAAACTTTTTTTCTTTCCTTAAACTTATCCGGGCGTTAACTGGGGGTAAATCACAGATAATCCTTCTGGGTGTTGGTGAAGTTGCTTTTGTTTCATATAGAAGTTCATTAACTTGGGGTGAAAATTCAAATAGTCGAGTAAAATTTGCAGTCTTTATTGTTACTTCAACTTCTTTAACGTCTGACTGGTAATTTAACGGTCTAGTAAGGATTATGACTTTGCTTTCAGGCCCCGTTAACAGCACAAACTGGGTATACTATTTTACTTTCGCAAAACTGGTGTGACACTGGCACTAGGTGCGTCATGAAAAATAGTGTCAAGTTATGCACTTACAAAACAAAAGAAATAGTGGATGATAAAATCATTAAAAACCAAGGGACACTCACAAGTTAATTGGTTACGAATAAAAGTGCAATAAAATCCTTGGTCGCAGAAGGATTCGAACAAGAGGCCTACAGGTTACCGGTCCAGCGCCACCCAATAAACTATGAGATCCAGGTTCCGACTAGGTTCTAACTTCCCTTCAAGCACCAGAACTTTGCTCGGCTGCCATATGGGTTTATGACACGTTACCGTCAGTTCATCGTAACAATCACACTGACTACCCAACCAGGTCTTTTCATCCCAATACAAATCGAGCTGAGTCTTGCAGCTCAATTGGCAGAGCTCCAGGTCGGTAGCCCAAAAGCCACTTGTTTAAATCCTGCTGCGATCCAAGTTTTTATTTCACACTAAACTCTAGTCCAGTATTAATAGGTCATAAGATTCATTGAAAATCTTGCATCATTTTTGTATTACTTCTAGATATAGAAGGCAAGAGAAAACTGTATCACGATACTGATTTCGCTTCTGGACCTTTGGAAATTCTTATCATTATTTATTCTTAACACTAACTTCGTGCAAAATAGACATTAAGAGATGAGAAATAGAGAATAATATAACACTAGGGAAACATAAATAAGGCTGACGGAACGAACTGAAAACGTTCAGAAGCGAAAGCAGAGTTAGTTTAGTGAACAAGCGGTCTTAAAGATACATTCAAAGAAGTATTCATTACCTTCGTTCTACTTTTCAACAAAAAAAAACAATAGGGCTGAAGCATGATACAGACTAGTTTCCATTCTGAGCCGTGTTCGCTGTAGTCCATTGGTTTACGGAGATGATTTTCAACTAACGGGTCACGGGGTTCGACATCCAATGCACCTACCGAGGTTTGGGCGGCCACTCTCACACACTAGGTTTGGCTTACTGGTAACTATGCGAATGTTGCTGAGTTCATTTCGATTCTCCACTTTACGCCTGCTATCGTCTCAAGCCGCCTAGTTCATCGATCACTCCTCCAGAGAGTTTTCAGACTCCAAAATACTAACATAACAAAACTATCCTTCATTTCACGGTTCCAAATCAAACACTCCGCTACCTCCAAAAAGCCCTTTGGATAGACAGACAATAAACACTATGGCAGCGGCTAAAGCAATATTCGAACCCTATAGCAGCCCCCAACCTCACATGGTTAACTAGTTCACTAGTTACTAGCCGGTCCTAAGCCCGGGTAAAAAGGGAAGGTTGGGCATAGGGCTAGCAACCCTACCCCGTAAAACAAATCTAACCGCTAAAGAAACTTCAAAGCACAAACAAAATATAAAAAATGAAAACAAACTTATTCCCCGCTGGAATTGGAGAGGCGAAATGACGCCAGTTGGTGAAAGCCTGCCTTCGGGAAGCCAATTGGCCTATGTGTCTTCTCTCTCTCGATGAAAGCGAAAGTAAACGTGGGGACATGGAATGTCCGTACGATGTTTGAACCCAGTAAGGCAGCCCAGATTGCAAAGGAGATGAGAAGGTATCACATCGAAGTGCTTGGGATTTGCGAAAGCAGATGGAATGGGAGTGGACTCTCCAAACTGTCAACTGGAGAATCAATAATCTACTCCGGTCACCCAGACGACAACCACGAGCACACTGAGGGAGTGGCTATCATGATGTCCTCAAGAGCATCGAAGGCTCTCATGCAGTGGGAACCAATGTCCTCCAGGATCATGACAGCAAGATTCAACTCAAAAGGAAGGAAGGAAGGAAGGTCACAATCATACAATGCTATGCACCTACAAATAATGCAGAGCAAGAGAAAAAGGAGGATTTCTACAGACAACTTCAATCAACACTGGATAAGACCACACTGCAGTTGGTGATTTCAAAATTCTAATGGCGGGGCGACATGAATGCCAAACTGGGAGGGGACAACACGGGAAGAGAACTAACCATGGGTCGAGAGGCGCTGGGTGAAATGAATGAGAATGGAGAATTGTTTGCAGAATTCTGCGCATTCAACGATCTGGTAATTGGAGTCAGGCAGTGTGTTCAGGCACAAAGATATCCACAAAGCGACATGGATTTCACCAGATGGACACACTAAAAATCAAATCGACTTTATCTCAATCTCAAGAAAATGGAGACGCAGTCTACTTAACACAAAGTCAAGAAGAGGAGCAGATGTAGGTTCACACCACTCACTATCTAGTGCAAGGAACCTTCCAAATCAAGTTAAAAGCCTTCAAGGAAGCTGGTGATAGACCTCAATTCAAGTACAACACTCGGAAACTGAAGGATGAAACTACAAAGGAGATCTTCACAGCAGCCATCAAGACAAAATGGGAGATATCGAGGAACATCCCTGAAGAAACCTGTGTGGAAGAACACTGGAAGTCTTTGAAAGCTATGTGGAAAGAAACCTGCACAACAGTATTAGGAAGGAAGAAGGTGGAAGACAAGGAATGGATCTCGACGGATACCTGGAAGCTGATAGAGCATGGGGAGGAGGATGGTGAAACAGAAGATAAACCAGTGCAAGGATGCTCAACGACAAGAGGAACTGAGCACAATGTATAAAACACTGAACAAAGAAGTAAAGAAGAGTGCACGCAAAGACAAAAGACACTTCTACGAAACACTGGCAAGTGAAGCAGAACAGGCTG